CTTAATAAAATTATGATTTGATTTCATTTAATGAAGGATTGAGTAAACTGATTTAATTTAATGACGGATTGAGTAAACTGATTTAATTTAATGAAGGATTGAGTAAACTGATTTAATTTAATGAAGGTTTGAGTAAACTGATTTAATTTAATGAAGGATTGAGTAAACTGATTTAATTTAATGAAGGATTGAGTAAACTGATTTAATTTAATGAAGGTTTGAGTAAACTGATTTAATTTAATGAAGGATTGAGTAAACTGATTTAATTTAATGAAGGATTGAGTAAACTGATTTAATTTAATGAAGGTTTGAGTAAACTGATTTAATTTAATGAAGGATTGAGTAAACTGATTTAATTTAATGAAGGTTTGAGTAAACTGATTTAATTTAATGACGGATTGAGTAAACTGATTTAATTTAATGAAAGATTGAGTAAACTGATTTAATTTAATGAAGGTTTGAGTAAACTGATTTAATTTAATGAAGGATTGAGTAAACTGATTTAATTTAATGAAGGTTTGAGTAAACTGATTTAATTTAATGAAGGATTGAGTAAACTGATTTAATTTAATGAAAGATTGAGTAAACTGATTTAATTTAATGACGGATTGAGTAAACTGATTTAATTTAATGACGGATTGAGTAAACTGATTTAATTTAATGAAGGATTGAGTAAACTGATTTAATTTAATGACGGATTGAGTAAACTGATTTAATTTAATGAAGGTTTGGCCTAGTTTGAATGAAAACTGTTTACAAGCTAGTAGAATTGAACTGGTTGCACCAAGTAACACAGTTTCAAAGTAGCTTTAAGTTATAACTTAAAAATGATACATGCTGTATAGTTGGAGTAAGTTCTGCCATAAACATCTGTTAAAATGGCTGGTCGATTTGATTGATGGGAAAACCTGCAAGAAAACTACACACCTTGGTATGCTTTGGCTAACATTAGCTTTCTGTGGTTCACTGCAAATTCCATTAAAAACACAGGTCACAGCACTGTAGTTCAAACTAAGGTGGTTCAGACTCCTGTAGTCCGACTGAGCTGCAGTGGGTTTGGGAAACAATCATTAGTGGGACGCTCGTTAGTTTAATGATCCATCATACTGCGTTGGTTCTGTGGTGACTTGCGTCGTTGTTCAGGAAATGCACTCCAGATCATCAAGGCCTTCATGAGCTGAATTCAGAGTTAGAAGAGGGAAAGCGCTAATCTCTACAGAGCTGTGGACCAGAAGGAACCCAGTTTAACATCTCTGGTGTAGACAGTATTAGTAAGCTGGATCTATTAACAAGTGGCAGGTTCCTTTAACTCAGTGTACATCTCTACTTTCATTATTCCTTTTCATTTTCTTCACAGTGTACCCAGATCTGGAGCCAGAACTTAATCATGAGTGGAGCCTCAGAAAACCTGAGGAAGCAGTACATCCACACACATAAACAGAACCCTGAGAACCTTCTGTATATCTGCGTTCTAACAGCACAAAATCATACCAAAAACAAGGACAGATTTTACCATTGATACGGCACACCACCCTTTTGGCTTTACCAGTGGGCATAACCACAGCCAGCTCTTTGTCTCCTCTGACCCAGTCAACATTCATTTCAGTAAACCGGTGTTGTTGTACTGCATCAGCAGTAGAACTGAATTCACCTGCATTTACTGCTGACACTGAGTGTGTTCAGCCTTTTATTTACACAGTTTATGGCTGCAAACATAAAAACATTCATGAGCCGTTTTATGTCAGGAGTAGCTAACATGTCTTACTCGTTCCACCGCTGACAGTGTAGGCTAAATGGTCCATTTCAGTTGAATGATCACATCCTGACCAGCCTGTTTGCTGTACAAACAGAGAGAAGGAGAGCTGCAGGTTTGTGTTTGGACAGTAAAAGGAAAGTGAGAGAGCAGCTGCTCAGCAGGGCGAGTAACATGTCGTCAGGTTAGCAAAGAGCAAAGCAGCAGAATACATAATCTCAACCCGTATAATTTACCCATATAAAATTAGTTTTTGTCTCTATTTTGAAACGATTTATACAGCTAGAAAGGCTGTGATACAGGAAACCTAGTCTGTTACAGATACAACATAAACCCTGGACAGTAGTTCTACACTTAGACTGTTTTTTACTTTCTGTCTATATTTTAGGACTAGCCTAAACAGCAGGCTTGGACCTATTAAAAATCAGACTGCAGGTGGTGGGGGAGGAGCACAGACATACTCCATGTGAAGTTTACGTTGTACACACACTGACTCAACAAATATCACCTCACATAAGAAACAAGGCAAAACGTCAGAGCATCACTCGGCAGAAATGAGAATGTGCTGTGCTGTAATAATCAGATCATCGTTCAGTCTGACTGTAGAAACACTCTGAAGTTGCTGCATTTGGAGTATAACTTACAACTGCATTAGCAAAGATACATTCACTCCTCAATCTCCTATTGAAGGAGATCACTTTAGTCAGTTCATCACAGAACTCAGCCTGACTCTGCTCTCGCTCTCTCAGCCTGACTCTGCTCTCGCTCTCTCAGCCTGACTCTCCTCTCTCTCTCTCTCACTCTGCTCTCTCTCTGCTCTCTTTCACTCTGCTCTCTCTCTCTCTCACTCTGCTCTCTCTCTCACTCTGCTCTCTTTCAATCTGCTCTCTCACTCTCCTCTCTCTCTCTCTCTCTCTCTCACACTCTGCTCTCTCTCTCTCACTCTGCTCTCTCTCAATCTGCTCTCTCTCTCACTCTGCTCTCTCTCTCACTCTCCTCTCTCTCAGTCTCACTCTGCTCTCTCTCACTCTGCTCTCTTTCAATCTGCTCTCTCTCTCACTCTGCTCTCTCACTCTCACTCTGCTCTCTCTCTGACTCTGCTCTCTTTCAATCTGCTCTCTCTCTCACTCTGCTCTCTCACTCTCCTCTCTCTCACTGACTCTGCTCTCTTTCTCTTTGCTCTCTCTCTCTGTTCTCTCTCTCCGCTCTCTCTCTCTGCCTTTCTGTTTGTCTTTACCTGTGTGGGAGGCTGTTTGTCTTTATAACTCGAAAGAGGCCCTGAATATTCTGCTGTAACTCCCGTTAGGATGAAGCAACCTGAACCAAAGAAATACTCTACATATCTTGACGTGTGTGTAATCGATTGCATTACATGCGATGCTGGAAGTGATCTCCGTTTGCCAGACACATGAAGGGGTACAGGGGTCTGCACCCGGAAGCTGCAAACAGAGGTTAAACATCGCGATGGCTGTCCAGTGGGTACCTCAGTGCTCCAATGCAGGGGCATCCCGGCTTGTATGAAGAGTTTGAGTTTTCAGAGTTTGTGAATAATACGTTTACTCTCTCTACACCTTAACACTTCTCATGTCTACAACAATATTACATTGATTATGTTTCTTCCACATTTTCAGCAATTATTATTGCATGAAGGCTCAGATATTTGCTGCGATGTACATTATTTTTTTTTTATCCAACAGAAACTTCACATGACAGAACAGTGAGTGGTGTAAAATGGAAAGAAATCTACCTGTGACTCAGTGCTATTCTGAAAAAAGCCCTCAGATGACTGTGTGTAGAAAATAATACACCTACTGGTGTAAGTCCAGGTGCACACACATCCACTCTGACCTCCCTTTAAGGAGAAAAGCTCCAGAGTGGGAGAACAGGGAGAACCGGAACACAGAAGGATGATAAACAAACATTCAGACTGAAAACCAATAAGAGAGATATACCAACGTGCAGAGTCAGCAGAGGCTAACAAAGCTAATAAAGCTAACATGACCTACAAGACTAACAGGTGAAGGTGATGTCACACTGAACAGCCTTTTTTTGGATTTATGAGAAAATGGTACCATAAAAGTGACCCAAAACTGGTGAAAGACTGACTTATTCTCCTTTCCTCCTCTATAAACGTCTTAATGGTCAGGAGCAGCGTATTTATCTGACCTGCAGCAGCGATATGAGCCGAGCAGAACCTGCTGCTCTTAAATGGACCCAGTGGACAGAGAGCATTAGAAGAGCCCGACACTGGACACTTTAAACCAGCCTGAAAACATGAATCAGTTTAAACACTGTTAGCATTTCTAGTCCTTCTCTTCTGTGACGGCACTTTATTATCCTTTGTTATCCTCATTTAATTTGTCATTTTTAATGTGATTTTTAATGATCCTACTTTCATCTCTGATATAATTATTTACTGTTAAATGTATTGTTTTAATCATGTTGTAATCATGTTTTTAAGTTTTCCATCTTTCCTGCTCTTTACAGTGTTTCAACCTTTTATTTGAATTACTTCACTAAGCCTCATACTGTAAGTAGTGTCAGAGGTGGGGGAACAGACTGGGGTGTGGGGTGTGCAAATATTTAGGCATCTGGTTAAACAGTACATTCTCTCTCCACATTACTAAGTTACAGTTAAAGGTTAAGGCAGTTTTCTGTGTGTGAATCATTCTTCTGTCACCCCTGCAGTTTATCTCACAAACATTCAAATGATTACACCGTTCCTTATTTGACTACAGAAACCCAGCTCATACATTTGCATGCAACGTTCTGCTTCAGTCACCTGATGTTCTCTATAATTCTGATATACAATTTACGACATAAACACATCACTGTGTTCATCTGTCTTAATATTCACTGGTTTATGTTTATTTATGAAACTGTTTTTGATTATTTACCCCCTTATTTATGTCATCTACTGCAATCAATGACTGAACAATATTGTATTTGCTCCCATGAATGAAGTTCCTTCATCGATATATATTCCTATTTTTATAGTTTTTGATTCATTTATTAATGTGAGGCTGAATCGGAGGGTGAGTTTTGAGTGTGAAGTCTTTATTAAAACTTTTTGAGTCCTGATCTTAATCCACAGTGTAGAGACTGAGACGGGCTCTATACTGAGCTGGAGTAAGAACTTTAGAGAGGACAGAGTCAGTCTGAGTTTATATATCAGTTCAGACTGAGCTGCATTAGAGACTCTCACTAAAACTAAACTGCACCACAGAGCACTCCCTGACTGAGAAACCGAAAGTAAAGGGGAGCAGCAGCGCTGTAGGAGGAGAAGGAGAGACGGAGGGAGAGAGAGAGAACTTACACAGTAACAGAGACTTTATTCCACACGGTAAGTTTATAATAAACACACATTTACAACACTGGTGTGTAGATTAAAGAAATAACAAGTGTGGTACAGTTTATAACTAAACTCAGTGGAGGATTAAAGCTCTAGTAGAAGTGAATGTCCAGCAGAGAAGTTTCTGTGTATAAGGAAGACTTTAACTGTAAACCTGATGTAACACAACAGACCTGAATTTAAAGCATGAACACTGAACTGTGTTCTTTTCAGACGTTGTTTTTTCAGGCTGTAGAGTAGAGCAGGGGCTCCTAATGCCAGCCCTGGTGATTCTTTGCTCTGCACATTTTCTGCTCTGCACATGTCTATGGATTATCTACTCTACACACCTGAGCCTTTTTACCTTCATCGTTGTTAAGTGCTTTGAGCTTTTAGAGAAGGTGCTATGTAAATAAATTTTGTTAGTTCGTTTGTTTAAGGCTGCCAATGAGACGCTGGTTAATGAGTTAATGAGCTGAGTCAAGTGAGCACAGCAAGACCAGGATTGGGAAAGCTTTTAGTAAATCCACATGGAAAAGAAACATCTGTTAAGTGTACTTATCAAAAACATTTGAAAATGTAGGAAAATGGCCAAAAAGTATATTTTGCTTAATGTACTTTAGTGGAAGGAAAAACTATATTTGAACTGTATCTCATTACAGATGTATTTCTTTTCCACATGGAGAATCTGCCGTGTTATAATGAGTCACGGAAAGTCTTCATCATATAAAAGTGAAATAAAAAACTACTCCCTAAAACAGATTGATCATTATAACTGAATAGAGTTTCAAAATGGAGCTTTATTATTGATTTATTAATGAAAAACTAAACCGACAATGGTTCAATTAAAGCTATAGTTCAGAAAAAAAAAACCTGCTCACTGTGTTTACAGTAAAAATGTAGGAGCTCATCTACTCTGGATTTTATGGTAAACCGTTTAAGAGAGAAAAACGCTGCTCGAGCTTTGAGTTCAGGTGTTGAGAAATCTAAAAGAACTGGGTTTCTGAGCTCTAACACTCCAAAAAGAACCTGCCTGAACAAAAACAAGCACAGATACCAAGATATGTGGATCTGATTTACAGTTTATGTACAAAATACACTGTTGATCAATACATGATCAATATCAGCTCCAGAATCAGAGTATTATGGTTTGTTCTGCTGTTTGCGGTAATTTATGCTCTGTGAGATCTGCTGAAATCCATAGTCTCTCCTTGTGTGAACTGAATATCTGACAAACAAAACTGACTCTGAGATAGAAAAGTCATGTGGATCATGTTGTGTGATTGTTTTGCTGCCCGATGTGGACCAGAGGAGGATGGATTCTCCTTTTGAGTGTGGGTTCCTCTCAGCAATGATTGAAAACCTTGAAGAAAAGTGTTCAAGAATACAGTTAAGATTCTTATAAATGATTTCATTTATGTATTTTTAAAAATAGAAAAATGAATTTTCTCCATATCATGGACTTTTTCTGTCACATGTACAGAAGAGTTAAAACTAAAAATAAGAATCTGAATAAATGAGTGGAGAAACATAACGAGTGCTTCAAGACAGATTAACTGGATGATACAATTAAGCCATTAAGATGAAAGTTCTAATCACATGGAAACATGAGGTCAAAAGGCAAAAATGTTTTTGTGTAAACATGTATAACTATAAACACTGTAAGAGTGAATTTAAAGTAGGAACTGCAAACTGTTTTGGTAAAACTGTAAAACATGACCAGTTACATCAACTCAAATGGTTTGAGGAAACCAACTGCCTCAAATGGTTCAAGTTAAATAACTTAAACCATTTAACCATAAATAATTCCCTGAACTAAGTATGAACAAAACGTGTGTTTATTGTGGTATACACTTAAGTAAACTGGGTAAAGTGAATTAACACTCTCCATTTCGTTTATCTTAAAACGACTCTGTCATTGTTAACAATGTTCTTTCCAACTCAATTATCCATCTTCTAATTGCTCTGCACCATCTCGCCAACAAGCTAACTGTTCAGCTCATAGCAGACATGAAGTATTTTACCACTGCTGTACCCCAGCAAGCAAGCGCAACTCCCTCAATCTTGCTCAAAGTATTGAGCAAACTGAATTATAAATACTTAGAAAATAAGCAAACACCTATAGTAAGCTAGGCTGGGGAGAATGACAACTCACAGACTGTAGGGTACAGAAGGCAGAATGACATGCCCAATATGCAAATATATGGTACCAAGAGCCAATAGGAATGATTCGGGTTTTACTCAAGAAAGTTGCATTGACCAAAAATTTATTAAGTAAAGCTGAGTCTAAACTAAATTTCAATAAGTTACTTCAGCTCACAGATCTCATTTGAATGTGTAAAATCAATAAAAACACAAAAAGTCCAAATTATGTGAGTCTGTCACCTAAATTTACTGATACAGAAACTTCAACAGCTCAACCACTGAATCAACTGTTGTTTAAGTTAAAAACATTAGAACATATTTCACTTGTGTTGAGGCGACCAGCTGTTCCTGATAGGCACACAAGACTATTCCTGCCTGACAACCATCACTTTTAACATGGGTAATTCTGAATAGGCTAAAACTAGGAGTGGTTCATGGAGTAAACAGTCTGTCATTCATTATAAGAGTGCATATATAGTTAGAAGAGGGAAAAATAACCCAGCCACACAAATTTTCAACAATTTTCAAAAACAACCCCTTATTGGCCTGTCTGTTTTTGTGTGTAATGACAGTTTAAATAAAAATAGTGAATATATTTAAATGAAGTTATCTTAACTCCAAATATGCTAAAAAAGATCTAACTCAAAATGGCTGAGTTACTATCTCAACAAATAATTTTCAAGTTAATCTGAATTTTTCAGATTAAGTTACTCCAACTTTCTGTAGCATTTAAATTGTGTTAATTCTTTCATTAAGATGTGCAGTTAGGTTTTACAGTGTAATGTGTCTTTTTAAATGTATTGCATATCAGTTTGCATTAATATATTTGTATATTTTATTTTGATAAACATCACTGTTTTATCGATGCTCCTTAAGTAGAAATTATTAAATAGAGTGTTGATTAAAGCACAGACTATAACAGACATGTTTGCATGCAGTAGCGTGGTTTAGCCAGCAGAGGGAGGAAGTGGACTGCAGTAATTTGGGCTTGTTAAAGAAAGGTTGTGCAGAACACATTTTCACAATTTCAGGGTAAAAGTCAAGATTAGAAGATCAGAGATCATGTATAAATCTGGAATGTTCTCACATTTGTGCTTGAGTGTGTGTAGATTCTGCTTTCACCTAAGAACAAATCCCAAATAAGAGAACATTGGTGAGTCAGAATCTTCATCAGAAGTGGGTTTAAAGAAAACATTTCTTCTTAGGAACGGTTGGTGAAGGAGGCCTTGTGACTACACCAGGCTGTCTAAATTATGTCATTATAACTGGCTAATTTGTGAATTGCTGATGGTTTCATGCTGGTTTGGGGATCTAATAAGTTACAGTTTAAATTACGGATCACTCTCTCAGCATTCTGGATCCACTGCTCTGTCTCACCATGCAGTACTTCTTGCTGATTTCTTGCTTTTTCAACGTAAGCTTAGTTGGATGGAGCTCTGGTGGCAGTGGTGACAGCACTGCTTTTTACCATTACAAATGTTTTAATCACTGCATATTTAGGTAATATAATTTCTGTTTTTCCTTCTTCAGTGACTCTTCCTCATGTTTGAAGCCGTTGAATGTTCATTAAAAACATCATCTTTTCATGGAAGGCTATGCAGAGACCCTCAGAGGGGCAGGCACTCAACTACAGAATCATTGTTTAACTAGAGCATCAACCCGTATTCAAAAAGAACATCAAAAAGAATCTTACATCACACAATATTACACTATTAGATTGTCTTTTATCAAAATATCATTATTATAACTATTTCAAGATACCATCAGTCAACTTTAAATCCCATGTAGCTAAACGGCTACACTTGTCTTTATTTATTTTACTAGACTGTGCTGTTGTTTGGCTCACACGTCTTATTTACAGACTACAGATTCTCACAGCAGTTCCTGGAACTTAGTATAAGTTTGGCTTCCTTAGTTTGTATATTTTGAAAATCTTTCTGGATAAGAGCATCTGCTGAGTAACTGTGAATATAAACTATATATTCAGTCATTGTGTAATACACAACACATAATTTGGATATTTTTCTGTAGAAATGTGTAAATATAGTGTGAATATTTTCTTAAAAACGAAATAATTTTTATATTGTACAGCCTTTTTTGTATCAACACAAACTGTCAGGCCTATAAGAAATTTGGGTCTTTATTCTAAACTTGTGTCAGTGAGGCTTCAGTGAACTAGAATGTGGTTGTGTGTTTACAGCTGCTACAGCTGTTTATTAACTGAGTTGCTTTTGTGTATCCACAGTCATAATCTGAAAAATATTTCTGAGTTGGCTTGGCTACATCAATGGAAATAATATGTACAAACAAAACTCAGTCAGGCTGTGTTCTGTGATGAACTGACAGACCAACGAGTCTCTGATGATGCAGTATCCTCTCCAAGGTGAGATCGAGGTGTAACTGTATCTTTGTTAATCCATTTTTAAGTTACACTACAAGTGCAGCAACTTGTTCTTCAATCAAAGTGAACGATGGTCTGAATATTACAGCAACACTTTTTAAAATCTAGTGTGTGATGCTCTGATGTTTTCTTACAAGAGGCGATATTTGTTTTGTCCATGTGCAGCGTGCTTGTGGGAAAAAATCATATAAATCAAATACCTATGCTCTCACCCCACCACCCGCAGTCTGATCAGATTACTATTTAGGCCAGTAAGAAAAAAAAATCAGTACATGAAAAAGAAATCTCAGCACAGAAGAGTTATTGTCTACCATATTTATATGGGTAAACCTGCAGGCTATGGGTTTACACCTGTAAACCAAACTAGCTAGCTAACAAACAATAAAACATGCAACAGCTTATAAGTTTAATAAATTGCTGCCATTTTTTTTCTGTAACACAGTTGTTCAGCTACGATTAGCTAGCCAGTCAGCTAACAGCTGCTCTCTCAGGGTAGAAGATGAGGTGTGAAAGCAGGGATCTCTCCAGGTTTTGGGAGGTGTGTTTATAATAACCCCTTTTTCATTAGTTCATTTGAAAACAAATAAAGACGACAGTTTGAGTAAAATATGTTCCCTGTGTTCCCTGTGCTGGTAAAGTTCTCCTCTGTGTCCCCCATTGACATTTTTGAATACATCAGGGCTGAAATGTAGTGTTATTTTGCAACTGGGAGCTGCTCTGTTTTGATTGGCTTTACTGACTTAATATTTTAAATTCAACCAGACTTTCTTCTAACTGGTTCATGAGTTTTTATTCTGTATTGTCATTAAAAATGAAAATAGCAAAGTAAAAGTGCTTTATTATAAATTAAGTAAAAGTATTATGATTTAATTCTTCTCAAAGGGAGTTACAGGGAAAATGTATTCAAGAACAGTAATGAGAGCAAATGTAATTCATTACTTTCCTCCACTGCTTATTTTTGATTTTATTTTGACAAGAACTAAGATGTAGCAGTGCACTACATGTCCTGTCATCCTTCTTTAATTTGGGGAAAAAAAATAAATAAAAAGCCACAGCAAACTATTTTATTCATGATACTTTACTAAACACATTATAAAAAAGTAAAATAAATTAGACTTGAATTACATCAAAATAGCTCTATGACAACTTAATGAATATATTTTGACTGTGCTAAAAAGCTGAATTTACTAAATATACCAAAATCCTTTGTGACAGTTAATCAAGTAATACTCATCACATCATCGTAGCTTATAAACAGAACTGAAGCTCCTGTCTCAGTTCTGTCAGACTTGCCCATTTTAGTAGTTGTAAGAGCCAGATCAGCTTCTTACCTTATTACCTTATTAGGAAAGCTACACATTATCTTTAAAATCATCATGAAAATTCTTGAGAGAATATATAATTGTTTCTATTTATTACAGTGTACTGCAAATCACATACCCATGATCACATTTTGAAATACAGCACAGGTTCATGTAGATTGAAAGAATCTACAAACGTATTGCTGTGCTAGCTATCTGTCTAGATCAGGATAGCTGTTAAGTTACAGTTATTAAATTCCAGAGATGTCTGCTCAGTGTGCTTTTTAATTTAATTATAACTATAACTAAGATTAAGTTTAAGTTAAGTGACCCTTATCTGCAGTGTTTATGCTGCTTTATGTTTTTTTATTTGAATGGTTCATCTTGTGTGCGCTGCTCTAATTTTGCTTTTTGACTCTTCAAACTGTCTTGCAGGAATGATGTTTCTCTGTGTGATGCTACTGATTTTCTCTGGGTTTATGGAGACCACATCAGGTATGTGTCTATCAAAGCTGTGTATCTGCATACTTATAGATTTTACATAATTATGAAATGACAAGCACATTACATTCTTTAATGTAATTTACAAATCAGTTCAATCTAAAAAACATATTCTAATCTCAGTATTCTGTATTTTTAATGCGTTGTTACATAACATGTTCCCATTGTTATTTTACATATCAACCATTCACGTGGGAAATTCAGACATTAACTCTGAGCTTGAGACCAACAATGCTTTTCTGTTGTTCAGCCACATGAGCAGAAGTCTTCAGGTTTATTGGCTGAGACATTAGATTAGATACATTAAGATTTAAAAACAATAACTGTACTGGACCATGTTAGCCATCAGTTTGCAGGATAATGTGAAAAAAGTTACAAAGCAGTGAATACTTTTGAATATTTTCATATATACATGGTTATACATACATTGGAATTGGGTAACACTTTACATTAAGGGTCGCTAACCAATCATTAAATATATAATAATCAACTATTAGTTTCCCATTGTTTAGTTATTAGTTAACTCTTCATTAAGAATTAGCTATTACTTAGTAATTGATTAAGCACTTATCAATTAGTAATTAAGTACACTGTTAGTTCATAAGTTAGGTTGTTGTTAGTTTGTGGCTTACTTACTCGTTATCTGTGTGCTAATTGCTGCTTATTACATTGTTAATTAACTAATAAGTATTTTTCTTCATATAAAGAAGTAACGTGATAACTCACTAGCAGTTATGTGTTAATCCTGCTAATTATCTGTTAATTAACTTTCCATCACCTCCATATATTCAGTTGCTTCACTTTTCTCACTTTGGTTTATTAAAGATGCTTATGGTCACATCTGACCGTAAGATGGGCGCACACAAATTCATGGACGGTTTTGTTATTCATCACGTTCATCTTGGCATATCTGTACTCATATCTGGTAGGAGTGCATGTAAATTTGGGCATAAATGCTGGATATGTGGCTAATTAACCAAAACTATTATCAACATAATCTGTAATTGCAAAAATAAGAACAACAGTAGAAAATTTCAATAATACTAATTTGTGTGCATGACAGTCCAGTACAAAAGTGGATGTACTGACTTTACATGCACATTGATATAAACAAGTGCTGCAACTATTTCATGTTCCATTTAAAGACACATTACACTGTGCTTTTGTTTCATACTACTGACTCACAAACACAGCTTCAGTCATACACTGCAATAATACAGCGTTTATTTTAGGGAATTAACTACACTAAACAATCACTCTACTATGTTAACAACACTGAGAGTATTTAGTTTTATTTCACATTTTATTTTTTTTCCAGTTGTTTTCATTTTAATACTATTAAGTTTGGTCAGCAGGGGAGGAGTGCACTCACTGCTGGACATCAAACTCCACCCACGAGCACGGCCATTAGCTTTCATGCCAAACACTGCCATTTTATTGGCTGGCTACTGAAACATCTGCATGAATTAGTGTGTGCTTCATGTAAATGATATGTAAATGAGGTGCTGGTCGGCTGCTTTCATGCACTGAAGCTGATTTATTATTTACGCTCAAATCTCCACTTGTTTCCACATCGTACAAAATTGTTATGCATCAGACGCAGAGCAGTTCAGACCTTATAAAAGACAAAGTGTAAAAAAAGTGTTCTTTTTTTTACGTAACTTTGATGATTAATGGGCATTAGATCTTTACATTTTGACCATTAATTACTTCTTAAATTCCACTTAATCAACCATTCAGTGCTTCTTAAATTCCTCTTACTTAATTATTAATTACTTCTTAAATTCCTCTTACTTAACCATTAATTACTGCTTTTGTGTCCCTCCAAGTAAAGTGACAACACAAAATCAGTAATTAATGGTTCAGTACGAGGAATTTAAGAAGTAATTAATGGTCAAAATGTAAAGATCTAATGGCCATTTTGTCATGATAGTGCACAAAAACTAACATATGTCTGTTGTAGCTCAGTATTTGAGCATTATAGTTCACTGCTAATGCTTAATCTGGACGCAATCACGACTCTTTGTGAAAAGGGCCCATGGCCATTAGATCTTTACATTTTGACCATTAATTACTTCTTAAATTCCACTTAATCAACCATTCATTGCTTCTTAAATTCCTCTTACTTAATCATTAATTACTGCTTTTGTGTTGTCACTTTACTTGGAGGGACACAAAAGCAGTAATTAATGATTAAGTAAGAGGAATTTAAGAAGCAATGAATGGTTCATTAAGTGGAATTTAAGAAGTAATTAATGGTCAAAATGTAAAGATCTAATGCCCATTAATCATCAAAGTTACGTAAAAAAAAGAACACTTTTTTTACACTTTGTCTTTTATAAGGTTTGAACTGCTCTGCGTCTGATGCATAACAATTTTGTACGATGTGGAAACAAGTGGAGATTTGAGCGTAAATAATAAATCAGCTTCAGTGCATGAAACCAGCCGACCAGCACCTCATTTACATATCATTTACATGAAGCACACACTAATTCATGCAGATGTTTCAGTAGCCAGCCAATAAAATGGCAGTGTTTGGCATGAAAGCTAATGGCCGTGCTCGTGGGTGGAGTTTGATGTCCAGCAGTGAGTGCACTCCTCCCCTGCTGACCAAACTTAATAGTATTAAAATGAAAACAACTGGAAAAAAAATAAAATGTGAAATAAAACTAAATACTCTCAGTGTTGTTAACATAGTAGAGTGATTGTTTAGTGTAATTAATTCCCTAAAATAAACGCTGTATTATTGCAGTGTATGACCGAAGCTGTGTTTGTGAGTCAGTAGTATGAAACAAAAGCACAGTGTAATGTGTCTTTAAATGGAACATGAAATAGTTGCAGCACTTGTTTATATCAATGTGCATGTAAAGTCAGTACATCCACTTTTGTACTGGACTGTCATGCACACAAATTAGTATTATTGAAATTTTCTACTGTTGTTCTTATTTTTGCAATTACAGATTATGTTGATAATAGTTTTGGTTAATTAGCCACATATCCAGCATTTATGCCCAAATTTACATGCACTCCTACCAGATATGAGTACAGATATGCCAAGATGAACGTGATGAATAACAAAACCGTCCATGAATTTGTGTGCGCCCATCTTACGGTCAGATGTGACCATAAGCATCTTTAATAAACCAAAGTGAGAAAAGTGAAGCAACTGAATATATGGAGGTGATGGAAAGTTAATTAACAGATAATTAGCAGGATTAACACATAACTGCTAGTGAGTTATCACGTTACTATTTAGAAAAATACTTATTAGTTAATTAACAATGTAATAAGCAGCAATTAGCACACAGATAACGAGTAAGTAAGCCACAAACTAACAACAACCTAACTTATGAACTAACAGTGTACTTAATTACTAATTGATAAGTGCTTAATCAATTACTAAGTAATAGCTAATGCTTAATGAAGAGTTAACTAATAACCAAACAATGGGAAACTAATAGTTGATTATTATATATTTAATGATTGATTAGCGACCCTTAATGTAAAGTGTTACTTGGAATTGTTTTTATTACTGTAATTGTATTATACATTATGTTCGTTTTTGATTACAGAGAACTTTAAGGTAGTTGGTCCAGCTGCTCCTCTTGTTGTTGAAGCTGGTGAAGATCTGGTTCTGCCCTGTTCTCTCCAACCCAACATCAGTGCTGTGGATATGATGGTGGAGTGGATCAGAACAGATCAGACTGAAACTAATAGATTAGTTCATATGTATGAAGACCATAAAGACACAAATGATAAGCAGATTAAGTCATACAGAGGAAGAACAGCTCTGTTTAAAACTGAACTGCAGAAAGGAAACACCTCCCTGAAACTCTCAGCAGTGCAACCTTCTGATGGAGGAGTTTATCAGTGTGCCATTAAATCAGAGTCCTGGTTTGATGACATCCTTGTTCATGTTGAAGTCAAAAGTGAGTGATAACAGTTTCAGTACTTCTTCTTCTTCTGATTATTATTGTTGTTCTTGTTGTTGTTTTGTTGTTGTAATTATTATAAGCTCACAGTTATTGAAAACCAACAAGAGAATTAATAAATATGAAAGCATATTTTCAATTCAGATTAAGTCAAAAATGTAAATTTAGAGTGAAGAGGCTTCTGTATTTGTATTATGGTAGATAAATAGAAAGTAACTCAAGTAACTCAAAGCTAAGTTACTATTTTATGTCCCCATCCCAGTTCTTTCAATGATCTTTATGACAAATTATATTATTAGTAAAGACTACAACTAATTGCTAAATACTTAATCAGTTACTAAGTAATAACCATGCTGAATTAACAGTTAACGAATATTATCAATAATAGGTAATTACTTGTAAACAACATAATTACTTATAGCTTTGAGACTCTCAAGTGTTACCAACTCATCTTTACAGTAGCTAAAATACCACACACAGTATTTTAAATGCTTAACTATAAAATTTGAAATGATGTCAGCATTTTAAGTATTTAGTATCAGAGGTATTTTCAAGCATATATATTTATATATTACTGTAAAAAAAAAAAGATTTCTAAGAAACTTTAAATTTCTAAAAAAAAAATATTTTTTTGCACATAGTCATTTTAAAGTCTGAACTATGCTTAATATATCACAAAGTAAGTACAACTTTATCTGGTTTGTATTTCAGGAAAAGGTTTTCATGCTTGGAAGATTGCTATCATCTGCATGTCAGTCTTTGCCATTATGTTAACGGCCTTCACAGCTTACATCTTGAAAGGTAATTTTTTTATTAAGAATTTTCAGCAATAAGTTATTTAAAAGAACATTTTCCATATGGACTGTTTGCATGTGCAGAAAAGATGATGCCATGCAATGTCATGACTTCTGAGAGAGTGTATGCTTTCGCATGGTCACACTCAAAAAGCTGAACTCCTTGTCAGGTTCTTTAGTGCTAAAAAAGATCAGTAAATATTTACATTTTACAACATTTTAGTACTTGTTTTGAAGTATCCGGAGGTTACATTTCAGTAGTACAATGACAAAATGGTGCTTTACTTAAATTTTTAAAGTTTTGAGATGCATGTGTATGACGTAAATTACATAACCTGTTGTAGTTCCCAACAGTGCAGCCACTTTGGTTCTGCTGGCTTACTTACCTCAAGATTAAGGAACATCAATCTTTTTGATTAAATGATGAAGTTAGCTGCTTGATGGCTCTGTGGTCAGAAGCATTCATACACAACAGCATATGATTTTTTTATGAATTTAACCTACAGAGAAACAATATATTCTCTGTATATATACAATTTTAAGAACATAAAATAATGTTTTTTGTGTTCCTGGTTGTAGTATGTTATAAAGCACACTATACTGGACTATACTAATGTTTAGATTACATTGTATGTGAGTAGACTACATTCTATGATGGACCACAACCACTACAAAACCATTTACATGGACAGTCCACAGTAAAATATGGAGGGCCACCTATGAACGCAAGGGCAGAGCAGGATGTGCCTTAATGCACCCATAATATGCACCCACAGTGCACCTGCAAATATCATTCGATTAACTAAGACTGCAGTTTATCACATAAACTGCGCCCAGCCCTGACCAATAACCATGCAGGGTTTAAAAGAGGCAGTGAAATCATAGAACCATCAACAAGCTCAAGACAAAAAAAGAAACTGAAAGTTCTGTAATTATGAGATGGCAGTCTTAGTTGTCTCCAGTGACAGGAATCGAGTTTGTATAACACAGACTGCGAGTGCATACTGCAGACACATCACTGGATGTTTTGCACCCCATCTTCTTACATATGTGCATCTGGGGGCTGTTTTATGAATTATTCTGTCACATGGTCAATAACAGAAACACATATTATGCATATTAATCAAATACTTTAAGGTAAATGTATTAACATTTCAGTCATAGTCATAATTGTCCTTATTCACAGGAAATAGGATTAAAAACATTTGATAACATAAATGGTCATGGCCATTTTTAATGATGCAGCTTAAAAATAAGTGTAAGTGTGAAAGAATTATGGGGATACTGCATAAAAACATAGTTGTAAATACACTATATTGCCAAAAGTATTCACTCACCCATCCAAATCATTGAGTTCAGGTGTTCCAATCACTTCCATGGCCACAGGTGTATAAAACCAAGCACCTAGGTCTGCAGACTGCTTCTACAAACATTAGTGAAAGAATGGGTTGCTCTCAGGAGCTCAGTGAATTCCAGCGTGGTACCGTGATAGGATGCCACCTGTGCAACAAGTCCAGTCATGAAATTTCCTCACTACTAAATATTCCACAGTCAACTGTCAGTGGTATTATAACAAAGTGGAAGCGATTGGGAACGACAGCAACTCGGCCACGTAAAATGACAGAGCGGGGTCAGCAGATGCTGAGGCGCATAGTGCGCAGAGGTCACTAACTTTCTGCAGAGTCAATCGCTACAGACCTCCAAACTTCATGTGGCCTTCAGATTAGCTCAAGAACAGCATAGAGAGCTTCATGGAATGGGTTTCCATGGCTGAGCAGCTGCATCCAAGCCTTACATAACCAAGCGCAATGCAAAGCATCGGATGCAGTGGTGTGAAGCGGTGGAGACGTGGTCTCTGGAGTGACTTTGTGCGAACAGTTTGGGGAGTTTGGCCCCTTCCTGTTCCAACATGACTGCGCACCAGGGCACAAAGCAAGGTCCATAAAGACATGGATGAGGGAGTTTGGTGTGGAAGAACTTGACTGGCCTGCACAAAGTCCTGACCTCAACCCGACAGAACACCTTTGGGATGAATTAGAGCAGAGACTGCGAGCCAGACCTTCTCGTCCAACATCAGTGTCTCACAAATGCGCTTCTGGAAGAATGGTCAAAAATTCCCATAAACACTCCTAACCCTTGTGGAAAGCCTTCCCAGAAGAGTTGAAGCTGTTATAGTTGCAAAGGGTGGGCTGACATCATATTAAACCCTATGGATTAAGAATGGGATCTCACTTAAGTTCATATGCGTGTGAAGGCAGACGAGCGAATAATTTTGGAAATATAGTGTCAATAAATAAATGTTACAATAATAATACCTATTGACCTATTAAATGTCACAGATGAAATTAGATTGGTTATCATTAATCTGAACATAAATTGACACTCCAAAACTGCATGCATGAACTGATCAGTCTATATATTCAATGAGGATGTGCAGAAATTGATATTCCTGTGTTGAAGTGTTAGACATACCTACATTATAATTAAATAAAATGTAATGGCACTTCTAGAGAAATTTATATTACTGAAAGAATCTGATTTTAGACATCGCTGTAGCGCAGTAATCGTTGAACTGGTGCTATAGAGCAGTGTTTCCTAAACTTGGTGCTGGGCTACATCTGCTCTTCACAAAATATTTATTAAACTCACTAGTTAAGTGTGCTGAGGAAGGCCATGTGATGGAATGCATCTATGCTTAATCTGTAATAATAAAAAGTAAATAAAAAACAGCTAAGATAACGGTCAAAAAGAAAAAAACTAAAAATCTTCACAAATGAACTGTTTGTTAAAATAGTAAAATGAAATAAAACAGTGAAAGAATTAAGATCAAATAAGAGAGTTGCAGGCTGAGTGGAAGTAGTTAAAAATTTTAAATGGTTGAGTAACATCAGCAAGCAGAGCTTTGAGTTTCCTGTAATGTATTCCAGTTCACTGGTGCACTGTGCCTAAAAACAGATTTTCCCAATCCAATAAAAATCTATTAGCCTGAGAGGTGATCCATTCACTAGAGTGAGTCTAAGAATACCATTATTTACAGATAGCATAGATGTTATATAAGATGGCAAATGACCGGACAGTGCCCTATAAATAAAAAACAAACCAATGATTTTCTGGCTGCACAGGGTTAGGGTGTTGGCATTCACAGTGTTAAAATCTATTTAGGGATTGTGGAAAACAGCATGAATGTAATTTTCCTGGCATTTAAAACTAGCTTATACTTATACAGACCAATTTGTAAGGCATTGAAGGAGCACTGCTGCATGAACAGAGTCAGCTGACATCTGCATAGGTGCACTTAGCATTCAGAGGCAGAAGCAGCAAAATTAATAATATATAAATCAAATAAGACTGGACCAAGCATTGAACATTGCAGGACTCCTTTGTGACAGGCATTAAATCTGATTTGGAGTTACCCAGTGCAACACATTGTTGCTTATTTGAGAGGTAGCTTTGGGCCCAGTCTGATACATGTTTATTGAAACCAATTGTGTGTAAGCTACTTAAAAATAAGCAAATAATCAATGGTATCAAAAGCTTTGGTCAGATCAATAAAAAGGGCAGCACAGTGCCTCTTTTTGTCTATGGCTGTAAAAATTATCATTTGAAACAAGTGTGGTGGCAAGATGGAGGAAAGGGGTCCAGTTTATCCTCTCCTGTGTTTTTTTTTTGTTTTTTTTTTTGTGAGAGTGTTAGACGCTATATATGGAAAGAAGTATTAAGTGTATGACTGGCTGCAGACAAAAAATCATAAAAAGATTGGCAGAGCTCTTTTTCAGATAGTACATTGTTAGCTAGTGCAATATGGGTCAGAATATGGAAGAGGTTTTTGAGAGAGTTTATGGCATTCCAAAATTTGTGCATATTAGAAGAAGAAAAACTATTGATCAGACAAAGACAATAATCTGACTTGGTTCTTGTCTTCCTCAACTGCTTAAATGATAACTCAGAACTAGACTACAAAAATGTGTTGCCCTCAGGTTTTGTTCAGACGCAGACCCTCCCCTTTGGAATGTAGCCAGAGTGCTGATAGGTCATTCTCACATAAAGGGCATTCACATTTTCCAACTCTGATTGGTGGTCAGGGGTGGCGCCACACCTCCAAAAGTGGTGGGGCAAAACATATTGTTTAAAAAAAAAAAAAGTGGCTGAGTGATGCAATGCAATTAAGCCACTGACTAAAATGACCTTCCATGTCATACAAATTTTTTTAGATTAAAAAATCCCCAAAAAAGAACAGAGCTGCACAGTCTTCAGCTCCTGTGCTGATAAATGTTGGATGAACTCAAGTTGTTCTGGGGAAGGTACTTTTACTTAATTATTTCAAGTATCAATGCTTTTACTTGAATTAGGTTCCACTCCCCACCTCTGATTTTGATAACAAACAGTGTCAGTGTTTGTTTTGATGCTGCTTCAGTAGCTGCAGCCTCAGATAGCAGTATTTGTTAGCCAACATCTCTAAAGAACATTGGGCTGTTTTCATGCCCAGTTAATTTTCTAAAGACCACACCACATTTTGATGTTGTGATGTTTTATCTTTTTACTTTGGTTTGGGTGTTGGAGAGCAAGGGCTAAAGTGGACTAAATTACTCACGTGGGTGTTTATTTATTTATCAGAAGTTTTGATCAAGCACTCTTACTCTCACAATCACCACCATGAAAACAGAAAAACAGAAAATAGAGACGGTTATCATCTTTGTGAATACAAACCGATCAGGTCACTGATGCTTGGCCAAAAATTTGCTCCTCAATCCATAATCAAATGCATATCGTTATTTTATAGCTTGTCTTTCATTATTTACAGAAGCTCGCAGTGCAGGAATGAGCGCATGCATGCCTGCAAAACCTCTGATCAATAAACAAACTCTCAGGTGTGTGAGTGTTTGTAAAGAGTGAAATGTTAAAGCAGCAGATTGTGCAGACAGTACAGAGAAAATGTGCAGTGGAGAAAACATGATCTCATGTTGAATTCCCTTGTGAAATAGTGCAGTTCAGTGTTTGGTGCTGCCTGAATTCGGGTGGAGTCGCATGTCAAAACTGAACTAAAGAAAAAGTTTGACAGTCTGCACCAACCAAGGCAGGTCTGAAAACACTTCTCAGCTGAAATGGAGGTTCTGATTGGCTCTGCCTCTCAGTTTTACTCTGTCTGTTTGTGCTGGTCAGTGCTTCATGCAGTTCAGGGAAAGCAGAGGTTTTTATGTGCATGTCCTGAACTCAAAAAGTAGTGGGGTGTCACCACAGTACTTTGAAAAATGGTGGGGTGAATGCCTGCTCGCTAGTTCCAGTGGCCCTGTTGATGGACATAATCTATGAGTGCCTCCCCAAGAGACACACCCTCCTTTATTCTGGCAAATAAAAAATAATTCAAATACCAAAAATGCTTCAGATTATTCCCTTAACCTTGCAAAACCAAGGGAAGGACAATAGGACATTCATTTATATTTCATAACTGACAGTTTTAAACATTGTTACCTAAAAACCCCCATGCATATTGGAGGACACAAGCTAATAGTATATTTAATCTTTGATTTTGTTTGTTATGAGTAAATTCAACCACAATATGGTTGTTATTTAAGGTGACAGAAGAAACAAACTAAAGAAAAAGGAATACATATTCAGGTCACATACTTATCAGTTTTCTAAATTCATTACAGTCAAATGTCTAGATCAGTAAATTATCATACATTACATATTCCTAACATCTAAAACAAAAAATGGAAAAGATACTTATTTTAGGGAACCAACTAAGTAACATACAGGTAATATTGTTTACAACAATATGGAGCTTCACATATCAAAGAGAATATAACCAGAGTCCTCTTGGACCATGGAGAAATGGTTTTGTGACTCTGTGGTATATCTCATTCTCACCACTGGGTGGTGCTATGGGCTCATGTCTGAAATATCAATAAAATCCAGAAATGTCTAACTTCATGATAGATTCTAGGAACAATTTCATTCTTGATATCTCCTTGGAACAAACCCAGATGAGTGATTCCAATTTGGAGTTGATATACACTTTGATTTCTGTTCAGTTTTTGTTCAAGCTATCCAGCTAGACTCCAGCAAAGTGTTTTATTGCTGCATTGTTAGTGCATAAAGATAAGCCACAGAGGTCAGGCCTGGTTCTTGACACAAGCTGTAAACCTCAGAATTTGTGTGTTCCTAAGGCAGTTTATGGCCCTGACCCAGACTTTGAGGAGCCAGGGCTCTTAACTCTTGTGTTGGTGATAAAGGTTTTGAGTCCAGATGGTGTCCACTACATTGTTCAAAAATTTCTTCTTACCATCTCACGGGACATTGTTTTTTATGTAACTGTTTCTTACGCATTAAATAGGGCAGTGGTTACTGAAGCCAAGACCTGAGGCAAAAATTTTGCCCATTGTAGGGGATAAAATTAAAGTCTGTCAGGGTAGACTTGGTAGGATCCTTTAACAAGTAATAAGCAGGATCTAATAAGTTGTATGAGGGTAAAGTTGACACAAATTCCCTTTAAGTGATCAGATGCATTAGTCAACTAATTTAAATGTAGTGGGAGAAAGCCACTTTTTCCACACTTACACCATAAACACAACCTACTGTTCGGTTCATCTCAGGTTAGGGTTTTCATGTGGACAGTGATCAACTGATTGGGCTATGGTAATCATACACACAACCAAATAAGTGATAACTTTAATAGTCATTAACTGATAAAGGTATATAAGCACTAAGTGGTAGATTAATAAAAGGGCGAGGCGGGTGGGGGGGTGAACTCCAAAAGCGTTGCAACTAACCAGACCTGAATGGGCGTATAAGCCAACTTCAACATACATATATTTCTGAGCATAGTTACATAGCATTAAGTAACATTATAAGCATGCAATTTCATATATAAACATCATTACTGTTTCAGTACTAAGTATTACAAGAAAAGTTTACTGACGATTATATCTAAAAGTATTCTAATTTGACACTATGGGTACATAAAGTTACTTAAAAATAACATTTACTAAACTAAACAGAACTAAAAGAGCACAATTCTGAAGGATTAATTAACACTATTACATTTCTAAACAATGTTTAAATGAACGAAACGTTACAAAGTGTAGAGTAAAATAAAATCCTGGGAAAAAGGAATTTCCATAAGTCATAAACTCAGTTTGTATACAGAATTTACTTTTGTCCTCCTTACAGTGTTGGAAAATGGATTTTGTGAGGTGGTCCATTAACATTTCAAACATTGGTTATCTCTGTTTTGAGACCAGATGAGGGGGGTGTTGGGAAATAATGTGTAGGTCCTAAGAACACTCTGGGGGCCATAAACTTGATTAGTCAGATTTTCTCCAGCCATCCTGTTGACTGGGGGATTGGTCTTTGTATCTTAAATCAAAGGTTTAACTTTGTCCAAATGTTCTGATTAGTTTAAGAATCAAAAAATAGCCAAGTTCACTACACAGACTACAATCACTAAGTATCAGCATTTATGAAGCATATATGTATGGAAATAAGAGATCAGTTAGTTCATCAATTGTAGAAGAAGGAGCAGAAGGAGGCTTGTATATCCCTATTGAAACAAAACAATTATTTTTCCCTAAGCACACCTGCATGATCTAGGACCAAAGAATCAGGGCTGTAGTTCTGCTGTGGTAATAAATAGCAGTAGAAAGTAAAATGTTATCTTTAGCACTGTAACAGAGGAGACAGATAACATAAACATAGTTTGTTAATTAGAGCGCATCTGAGTCCATGGCAGGGATTAAAGAACAAACAGACACTGAGAGCACAGGAGGTTCTATGAAGTAGAATCCTCCTGAAGAAGTAGTATGTGCACAAATTACCGTAGACACACTCCAAAATCTTGTGGAAAGCCTTCCCAGAAGAGTGGAGGCTGTTATAGCCACAAAGGGGGAATAGTATTACTATACTATTCTATAGCGTTATACTATTATAACTGTATATTCTTATCATGATTTTGGAACTGGATGTACAGCAAGCTCTAATGGCTGCAATTTGTAGGTATTTCACATACTTGTAGATAATTTCACGTACTTTTGGCCATATAGTGTTGATCTGTCATTAATCCCTTAACATTCCGGGCTTATTACATAAAAAGGCTTATTATTCAGTTACTAGAGGGACTTCATTGCAGACTAATAGAGCAATCTTAGGTTATAGAAGTTTGTAATAATACTTTTGGCCGTGGGGCCCAAAGTACTGACAAATGCATCAGAACCACAAAGCTAATATTTTTGAAATCTTCCTACAAAATGACTTTAACATTCTGACATTGTTCACTTCAAGATCTCTCCTTTGTTCAACCAGTTACAGTCAATTGATGGTGGTGGTTTCTGAAAGCTTTCCATTGTTTCTCTCTAATTTTAGATAAATCCTCTAAAAAACAGCTTTCTCCTACACAATGTTCAGTCATAAACTATATGCGTGTCCAGTCAAAAAATATGAAGGAAGAACTGAACCTGAAGAGATTCAACACATCAGAAGAAGGATACAGAAGACTCATCCCAGCTATCACAAACTGCAGAAAGGCTCAGTGAGTGTTTAACATAATGATTATTAAGCTAATATTAATACTGTGGTGTAATTGTGGGCAAACTGTTAAAAGTCTAGGGGGTCTAAACAAGGTTAATTGTCTTGTCAAAGTATTGTTACTTTTATGTTGCATTTTTATGTTACATAAAAGCATGAGAGATTACATAAAAGCATTACATACGTTGCACATATACATGTGTATGGTAGGAACACCTTTCAGTTTGCATACCTGAGAGTTCTTCATCCAGATTATATGCAGTATACACTGCCTCACCAGCTTTGCTAAAAAAGAGACAAAGACAGTCCTGCAAGATGTTTTGTCTCTTGCTATACCCCGATGGTTTAATGTTTAGTCCTATTTAATCTATTGGCATCTACTCCTGTACTGTTTTGTTTCATACAGATGGTGCAATTTTCTTCGCCCTACATTGAAAATTGAATGGCTCCTGCATTTATGTATATGATTTTCTGTTAGGTTTCATCAGTAGGTGATTGCTTAATTTTTTTAGGGCAGCCACTGGGACCCGGTATTGGAATTAAGTCATGAGTGCATTCAACTATTAAATTTAAGTCAAGAACCCATTTACTGATTCCAAATGAATAGTTGGAATCACTCCCATTTTTGACAGAAAAGGCAAAGAGGAAAGTCAAGATCGGTAATGAGTGGATTAGGGAAACAATGAGAATATGGTCAGTGGTACAAAAGAAATTAAAACTCTAAAACTCTATCTGTAGGGCCACTAAAATAACAACAAATCCAGATTTTTTACCATCTATCATGGATGCAGGATATAATAATTGGTCAAACAAGGGTTTATTATACATTGCACAATTGTTCAATGGACAAACCATGAAGTCAAATGAACAACTTACACAAGAGTTTAAACTACCAGCCCATGATTTTTATAAACTCTTACAACTTAGACATTACCTCCAGAAACATAAGGAATGGGAGAATATTTGCAAAGCACCATCCACACTAGAGGAACTGTTAATAACATTTACAGAGAGAGAGACAACAAAAAAAAGGGATTATATCAAAAATCGTAAAGCATTACAACATGAATCTAAGGATAACAACATGCAGGTCAAAGAAAAATGGAAGTTGGAAGCAAACATTGTAATAACAGATGAAAAACGGGAGGAAACTTTCAAAGCAGGGCATAAACTAACTTGTAGTCCAACATGGAGAGAATTTGACTGGAAAATAAAGATGAGGTATTTTAACGCCTTTTCTATTACTTCAAAGTACAGGAATGTTTCTGAGCTGTGCTGGAGGGATTGTGGTCTGATGGGGGACCTCACACATATATTTTGGGATTGTCCAAAACTTTTAGTATTTTGGAAGAGTGTTCACAATGAGATCAAACAGATTCTAGCGATTACTCTTAATTTAGATCCAACGCTTTTTATATTGGGTATTCTCCCTGATAAAATGACGGATGGAAACTTGACTTAATTAGTAAGAGCTTTGCTTTTAATAGACAAGAAAATGATAACCACTCCCTGGTTAAAGCCCAGCTCCCCAGCATAGCACAATGGAAAGAAAGGGTAAAAAAGGTCTTTATTATGGAGAAAATGACAGCAAGACTACAGCTAAGGACAGATATTTTTTTTAAAAGATGGTCACCATTACTACAGGCAATGCCAGAACTCGTTACCTCTTTTATCCTATTTTTTTTTTCCTTATAACGAATTAGCTTACAGTGATGTTTTGAACAGACAAGAAAAGAATTTCAAACAAGTTAAAACAACTGTAATCTTGTCTATGTTTTGTGTATTATGTATTATGTACTATGTGTGTTGAATAAAAAATAAAATAGAAAAAAATAAAATAAAAAGAACGCATTTACTAATTTAATTCTACTGAAAGAGCATTAGACAGTGAAGGACTGTAAGAAAATATAGCCTGTTTGATTAATACTGGTCCTAGCTGTGTCAATCTGATAGGAATTTTAGGTTGCATTTCGATTAGCATATCTGATGTTTAGGTAATGAAGAAAATTCTCCATTACCTAAACCAACAAAACTCTGTGAATTAATGCATTCATCATCCCCAGTGCGGCAGGATAGTGGTGTTAATTTGGTGTAAAGTTTGTTTTTATAACACACCGAGTTTAGTAAAAGTATGAATATCACTGCAAGGCCAGTACATCATGACAGCAGTATGTGCACCTGTGAAAAGATTCTTTGAAAGTATAATGCTCAATGTCAAAATGAATAAATGCATATTTTTTTTACATTTTTTTGAGGATTTCTTACTATACACATCTGTAGTTGTATTTTGTACAGCCCCATTTCCAAAAAAGTTGGGACACTAGGTAAAATGTGAATAAAAACATACATTTACCTATATTTCATTGACAGTAGTATAAAGGCAAAATATCAAATACTGAAATTGAGAAACAGAAGAGGGGCAACAGAAGACTGGTTAAAAAAAACACAAGATCTCACAACTGATGAGGTCAATTGACAACAGCTCTGTAACATGATTGGGTATAAAAAGAGCAGTATGCAAGGAAAAAGGCCAAAAGCCAATATTGGATCACAGTGATGATCGGGACCTCAGGCCGCACTGCATAAAAAACAGACATGATTTTGTAGTGGAAATCACTGCATGGGCTCAAAAAAGCTTCCAAAAACCATTGTGAACACAGTTTGTTGCTCCGTCAAATGTATGTTAAAATTCTACCATGCAAAGAAGAAATCCGGATCCAGAAATGCCACCTTCTCTGGGCTGAAGCTTATTTAAGATGGACTGAGTTTAAGTGGAAAAATGTCCCTTGTTCTAAAGAATAATAATTTAAAATTTGACTGAAAATCATGGAGGCCACATCATTTGAGCTAAACAGAACAGGGTTTGTAAGGGTGCTTGAAATTGAATTTTAATATAGTATTTTGAAGGTTTGAAAAGTGCTGGAATTTTGGATAAAGTGCTTGAAAATGCTTGAAATTGTAACTGTATTTTTTTTTTTCACAACAAATTGCTATCTGATTGAATAGTTCGGTAATTAGATGGAGAAATAAAATAAGTCACAGCCTAAAACTGCTCTGACTGGGTTCACTTGCATCTGCATGTGTGATAGTGATGGGAATTTTGGCTCTTTTGGCTCCCAAACAGTTCTTCATTATACCACCGCAGAGAGGATCACCCTGACATTCTGCCGTTGCAGCTCCACAGCAGAATTCGATTTTTAGGTAAAAATAAAATAATCTTCCTTTACAGTAAAATGATCTCTGCTGATCGTTCAACACAGTTTAACAATAAATGGTCTTAAACACTGGAGTTAATGTATAACTGCTAATTCACCCTTTAACCCTGAAGATCAGCAGAGACTGCTGGTCACCACAGCAACACACACAACAACCTCACCTAGCTAGTAGCTAACGAAACGGCAAAGAGAGAGATTTAAGATGAACATTGATAATTTTGGAGACTACTGGACTTATTTGCATTTATTTGCACTCCATTTGGTTTCCAGATACATTTAATCTGCAACAAGAACCTGTCAAACACTAAAAAGTCACAAAGCTGAAGTCAGCTTCTCATTAGAATTGTCCTGTTCTGCCTTAAATAGTGCAGCACTTGCATTTTGGTGCTTTAGGCACCGTTTAAGGTGCAATGCAAAAAGTAGAACAAGAAGCTTGCGAATGAGAAGCGACTTCAACCTTGTGAAAAGTCTAACGTTAAGAGACATTTTACAAGAAACTGTTCTACTTTTGTTGAAAAGTTTCCTGCCGAACTTGCAGTGTGGCTATAGCTGAGCTAAAGCTTGAAGCAAAATAAGTTTGCATTTTATGTTTTAACTTATACTAGTACTTAGTACATTAGCACATACTGAGTCATATTTATAGCCAAGATGTTAAAATGGACATGAAATGTTGTGGCTTACAAGGTGGTTTGGCTTTTGTTGAAAAGACAAAATGGCTCTTCTAAACATTTGTAGCTAGTGTGTGACTGCAATCTGCCGGTCTGTTTTCAAGTTGTAACTTGCCACTATTCCTATTGTTTTGATTTGCACAATACTGTGGGAAAAGGTTACAGAGCAGGTTGATTGCCTACCTCAAAGGTGAATGTTGTTATTTTTGACATTTTCAGTAAAGAATTTATTGGAAGTGAAGTTATTTGTTGAGTGATTTTTTGGGTGATTTAGCAAAGTTAGATAGCAAGAAAAGTCTACTTACAAACAGATGACACATTTTGAAACATATTTAAGTGCTTTCCATTAATTTCTTATCCTTCTGCTATTACCAAACACAATTCTGGTTGTTTATAGGCATAATACCATCTCTTTTAATATGATAAAATGTGAATTAATTATTTTGAGTATGTATGTATTTGTATAAATATGTGATTTACTACAGCCATAAGGGTGCTTGAATTTGACCTTGGAAAAGGTGTATGAATCCTGAGAGAAGAGGGACCATCTGGCTTGTTGTCAGCACACAGTTCACAGGCCAGCACCTTTGGTGGTATGGGGGTGCATTAGTGGGTGACTTGCACATCTCTGAAGGCACCATTAATGCTGAATAATATGTACAGGTTTTGGAGCAACGTATGCTGCCATCCAGATTGCCATCCTGATTTCAGCAAAACAGGGCCAAACCACATTCTGCATGTATTAGAACAGCATGGCCATCAAGCAGGAGTTAAATTAGCCTGCCAACAATCCAGACCTGTCACCCATTGAAAACATTTGGTGCATTATGAAATGAAAATATGGCAGACCCTACACCCCATGTGTCAGACACAATCCTATCCGGCCCGCAAACATATTTTCATTTTCTATTAATATTGGCCTGTTTCGCAATGCACTGCACTACAGTCCCCAGCATGCACTGCAACTTAATGTGTGCTCTAACACTCTTAGTAAGGAGTAAAAGTTAGAATATTTCAAGTATTCATGTAATATTCCAAGGTCTATTATAACTGGCTATATTTTACTGCTGAAGTTTTTGCATATTTTGAACAAACAGTGGTCAGTTCGGGTTATGGCACAACATTAATTGAAAATTAAAACATTTTTTTTCTGTGGCCCATGGATTTGTTGAGATTTTTAATATGGCCCTTTAGTGATTGAGATTGACACCCCTGCCCTAAACTGTTGCGCAGCTAAATCCCATACCAAGCAAGAATGGGAAAACATTTAACTTTCAAAATTACAGTAATAGGTTTCTTCAGTCCCCAAGTGCTTACAGTGTATCTGTAAATGAAAAGGTGATGCAACACAATGGTAAACATGCCCCTGTCCAAGCTTTTTTGAAATGTGTTGCAGGCATCAAGTTCAAAATGTGTATATTTTTCAAAAAACAATGAAATTTCTCATTTTCCACATTTGATATGATGTAATTGAAATTAAATATACAGTTTCAATGAATTGCAGATCATTATATTCTATTTATATTTTGAACAGCATTCTAACTTTTTTGGAAATGGGGTTGTATGTCCATCAGACTGATTTTAATCATATCATAAATCACTACTTGCTTGTTTTAAATGATAATTACTTAATGTACTTAAAAATGCAGTTGTTAACATAGTACATATATTACAGTATAAGGTCATTGCAAACCTTAACAGGGAATGCTAAAGTTCCTTTTTTTAATTATCAAGCAAAAAATGGTCTGTGATTTCTTGCTCTGGGAAATCCTTGTTTTAAGTCTAGGGAAACTTGTTAACAATTAATGACTATTAATTAAGCAAGTGGGAGAAAACACAGGAGGAGCGAAGTGGAGTGTCAGTGGAGTGCAAGACTAAAAGACAGTATCAAGAATTACGATGTCAGTATTGATTTTTTTTTCAGATAATTTCAAATGCAAACACTGAGAATCTTCATATATTTTACTGACTTTCTTCCTTACCTGTAGATTTGCTGGCTGTAACTTCACTGCACAGTCCCTTGAAATTTTGAGTACAGCTCTACAAACAGAAAATTCCTCTGTAAAAGAGCTGGACCTCAGTAATAATGACCTTCAGGATGCAGAAGTGGAAAAGCTCTCTGCTGGTCTCAAGAGTTCACACTGTAAATTGGAGATAATCAGGTCAACCAATTTATAATTATTTTTAAATAATTATATTATTAAATAATATAATTATTTTATAATTATTATTATTGAATGTACTATATGTTACTCTTTAATTCCAGACTTGCTGTGTGTAACATTTTGTAATTATATACCAGCACTATGGAAATATGCAACCAATGTATATGTATTCTTATTCAATGTACTACATGTTGCCTTTGCTCTTCTTTTCCAGAATTGCTATGTGTAAACTCAGCGCACAGTCCTGTAACACACTGCAGTCAGTTTTACAAACAGAAACCTCCTGCCTGAAAGACATAGACCTCAGTAATAATGACCTGCAGGATGCAGGAGTGGAGAATCTCTCTGCAGGATTGAAAAGTTCATACTGTAAACTGGAGATACTCAGGTCAAAATTCCAAAATTTCATAACATTTTGTAATCCTATACCAGCACTATGGAAATATGCAACCAATTTATAATTATTTTTATTCAATGTACTGTATTTGACTTTTACTCTTCTTTTCCAGACTTGCTATGTGTGAACTCAGCACACAGTCTTGTAACACACTGCAGTCAGTTTTACAAACAGAAACCTCCTGCCTGAAAGACATAGACCTCAGTAATAATGACTTGCAGGATGCAGGAGTGGAAAATCTCTCTGCTGGATTGAAAAGTTCATACTGTAAACTGGAGATACTCAGGTCAAAATTCCAAAATTTCATAAATTTTGTAATCCTATACCAGCACTATGGAAATATGCAACCAATTTATAATTATTTTTATTCAATGTACTATATTTGACTTTTACTCTTCTGTTCCAGACTTGCTATGTGTAAACTCAGCACACAGTCTTGTAAGTCACTGCAGTCAGTTTTACAAACAGAAACCTCCTGCCTGAAAGACATAGACCTCAGTAATAATGACCTGCAGGATGCAGGAGTGGAAAATCTCTCTGCAGGATTGAAAAATTCATACTGTAAAGTGGAGATACTCAGGTCAAAATTCAAAAATTTCATAACATTTTGCAATCCTATACCAGCACTATGGGAATATGCAACCAATTTATAATTATTTTTATTCAATTTACTATATTTTACTTTTACTCTTCTTTTCCAGACTTGCTATGTGTAAACTCAGTGCACAGTCCTGTAACACACTGCAGTCAGTTTTACAAACAGAAACCTCCTGCCTGAAAGACATAGACCTCAGTAACAATGACTTGTATGATTTAGGAGTGGAAAACCTCACTGTTGGATTGAACAGTTCAAACTGCAAACTGCAAATACTAAGGTCAGTATTCATACATTTCATAAAAATTTCTAACATATCCTATAATGATGAGAACAGAGAATATGGAGCAAATTGTCTACCCCTCAATACTGAATCTCTCCAGATCTTCCAGGTGTTCAAGTCCTTTCCTTTAGACTCTCCTCTTCAGCTCACCAAAAAATTTTAAGGGAATTTAGCTCAGGTGACCATGATGGCCATGACAAAAGCTTGATTATGTGGTCATCGAACTATTCATGTGTGGTTATGGATGTATGTTTTGGATCATTGTCCAGCACGTTTTCTTCTGCCACCCATTCTACATATGCATTCCAGATATTTTGTTCGCAGGGAGCTGGTGTCTAATTGTAGTTCTGGAGACTTGATAAATAACTACCAAAAATAACTACAGAAATTGGCCTCTGTTTTCACAATATATATATATATATATATATATATATATATATATATATATATATATATATATATGTACAACTCACACTCTTGTTTCTTACTGCCTCACACTTCCAAGGGTAGCAAGTGCATTGTTCATTGTTTATTGTTCTCTGGGTAAATTTTCCAGCTGCTTTCAAGTTGTCCTGAAACAGTAACTGCTAGATTCTTTTTCCTTCCTTATTATTGGTCTAAGTGCATTGAGAAATCTTGTGAGATGCACTTGACTGGAGATGATTAGTTGTGGTTACATGAATTTTACATTTCGATACTATCAAGCCAGTTGTACTGACTGGGATTTTTACATTCATTGTCAAAGTTCTGTTCTTTAGAAAAAAAGAACTAGAAGTGTACTGCAAGGAAGTGTGGTTGAAAATTTCTGAAACAAGATAAGAAAGACTAACACTACAAAAAGCATTTGCAAGCTTTCATATCTGCATTTTCTGTTTCATCATATTTTTTCTGTTTCTTATAGCCCTGTCTCTGTAACTCTGCTCTATCTAGTGCAACCCAGAGGAGGAGGCATTCCACTTTTGAGTCTTGGTTCCCCTCCTCCTTAAGCTCCTATGGAGTTTTTCTTGACATTTTCTTCCCTGGTGCTCATTAGAGAGCTGGGTGCTATAATGAAAGATACATTCTGAAGTTTAATATCTTTTATGATTACATTATAATTAGCCAAAAAGCAGTCATACATGCCATGTGTATTTTTTTCAGGAGACTCTTGTCTACTCAGACAAAAGTTTGCTAACAGAATTAAATATGTTTAATTATGTCTTTTTATGAACACATTTTTTTTTTGGACATCGTTCAAGTTTACATTTTTTCTCAACAACTCAAACTTGTAAATTGTATCTTTATGACTTGATAACAGATCACTGATAATCTACACTATCCAGACCAAAGCAAGTACTATATTTTATGTGTATTTAGAATTAAGAATACAATGTCAAGACAAGCAGTGAGGTTCCAAATCTAAACTGGCATATTTGCTGATACTTTAACACAAATAAGTGCTATAATTAGTATGTATTTAGGGTAAGAGCTACAGATTATATTATGATGTGTTTTGCCTGTTTTAATCCGTTCCTGAGAATGAAACCCACACAATGTGGTAATAAAGTTCTAAGGGTTAATCAAATGGGACATCAAATGGTTTTCTCATGAAAAAGATAAGGTGCAAAAAAGGAATTAAATTCTAACACTGGATGCTGTTATTTACATTGAGATCTGCCACATTTGCCAAAGAAGTTATGTTTCAATATATATCACTATATTATGTGTCTTCTTTTTTCTCTCTCTGCAGATTGTCTGGTTGTATGATCACAGAGAAAGCCTGTTCTTCTCTGGCTTCAGCTCTGAGTTCAAACCGGTCACACCTGAAAGAACTGGATCTGACCTACAATCACCCAGGAGAGTCAGGAGTAAAGGTACTCTCTGCTAGACTGGAGGATCCACAATGCACACTAAGTACTCTCAGGTATGAACAAGAGATATGTGTGTGTGTGTGTGTGTGTGTGTGTGTGTGTGTGTGTGTGTGTGTGTCCTGATTCTAGTTTATGTATGCTGTAATATCTATGGCTGCTCATATACACTACACTGCTTTCACTCACCTAGAATGCAGCTGACTCACCTAGACTGTTCTCACTCTCCTAGACTGCACTTATTATATTCACATAGAACACAGAGCAGCTTTTCCATTTTGGGAAGCTTCTTAACTACAGGAAATGCGTTATAACTTTAGTAAAGAATTATGTTTGAATTTGATTGGAATTTGCGTATTCTGTCAGTAAGTGCAGCACTGTCTCAGTCTTATTAGCTGTCAGTGCCTCTTAGACAGAGACGTCGATTAGACCTAAGAGTACTTGGCTTTAAATTAGGCCTCCCCAAAAAGGCTCTCCATTTGTAAACAGTCCCTCTCACTGTAGAACAGTGAATTTCAGATTGTTTGGAGATGGCTTAAACCATTCCCAGATTGATGAGCAGCTGCAGTTCCTTCTCTGAGGTTTGGCTGATGTCCTTTCTTCTTGGCATGATGTAGACACACAACTCAGGTGCTCCAACAAAACCAAACTGACAAAAGTTTGGCTTTATAGAGGTAGTCATACCTCGTTATGCTTAACTGATCTTGTGCATTTAATTAGTAACACCTGGCTGATAATTACTCTCTTAATGTTTGTGTAATAAGGAAGGGTGTACTTACTTTACCCACCTGTTTTCTGAATGTTGGTTTACTTTTGGGAAAATGTCTACATATTAAAATCTGTCTTATTTTTAATAATCTCTTTTTAATAGATGTTCCTGAGGTACACACAGTTGTTAATCAGGCCCTGAATAACAGAATTGAAGGAGGGTGTACTTTCTTTTTCCCATGAATGCAAAATTTTGTTAATTTCAGTGCAAATTATCTTTACAGGCTTTAAGTGAAGTCAGACAATCACATCTAACTGGTAGTATAGAACATACTCCTTAAGGCTTATTTATACTCCATTTACATATGAAAACGAACTTGTCTGTTTCAAACAATGTAACCATCACTGCCCACATACTTTGATGCATCCTTTATGTTGGCATGGATATTAAGTAATACATCCACTAGAGGGCAGTGCAGAGTCAAAAGTCTGACAACAACAAACATGGTGACAGTAGAGGAGTTAGTAATAAAGTACCTACTACAAAAGATGCAGCGTTGTAGACTGTGTTGGTCTGTGAGGCCATTAAATACTTTACATGTGGATGGAGTATTTTTTTTCACTTTTATTACCAATAAGAGAACTTACAGACGATGGCTGGTCATGTCTTGCTTGAACTATTGGCTACACTGCCCCCATAATTTCAAATGGTACTGCTCTGTTTCATCCATCCTGAATACTAAGTCAGATCATGCACCTGATTGGAATCAGATGCCATTTTTTTAAACCCTGTGCTTCCAGTTACATGTTGCGAAGTCTTGTTTGGTGTTTACCCTTGCATTTCTGAGCATGTTACCTTGTTGCTTTTTTGTTTTCTTTTCTTGGACTCTATTTTGGTATATCAACTTTGATTTCTGTCTAGTGTTTTGGGGCTGTTTGGTTTTGGTAGGGGGGGGGTTATATGGTTGGTCTTACCTGGCTTTTTGGCTCAACCCTCATGATTTTCATCTCAGTAAACTTGCACCTGACTCCAACCTTGTGTGAAGCTCATCGTGACAATAATAAGTGCCGTCACAGGAGAGATGTGCAGTAGAGCTAACAGTATTTTAAACTGAGCTGAAAGCTGCTCCGTTAAGAACGTTTTAACTGTGGATTTAAAAGTGTCTAATGTTGGGGCTCTTCATTAGTATAAAATATTAAAATACAGAAAGGGGAAAAGCTGGTGAAGTAATGGCTATGATTAAATAGATCAAGTCTACGGAGCAGCAGGATCAGGAGGTTCAGTTCATACAGGTGAGGCTTGCACAGCGTTGGACACCTGATCAAACACACAGACAGTTAGTTCTGTTAAGAGTGACTGACTACAGTTTACAGGGTTAACAGAGAGCAGCAGAGACTCTGGCAGGTCTAGTTATTACAGCCTCACTAAGAGGGAGAGACAGAAGGTATCAGAGTCATGAGGCTCCCTGAGATGTCAGCGCCCCTCCACTCCACCGTCAGCTAACTTCAATGAACGCATGAGGCAGCAGGACGAAAGCACCAACACTCCTAGTTTACCATAATACTCTATGACCATGAACCCCAGATCTGTACCTTTTATCTAACAGGGAAAACTAATTACCAAAGGCTCCACTAAACAAGTGGGTTTTTAGCCTAGACTTAAATACTGAGGCTGTGTCTGAGTCCCGAAACTGACTGGAACATTATTCCAAAGCAAATTCTAGGTATTAATAGTGAGCAGCACCTTGTGATGTAAGTGTGATGATTCATAATAAGTGAGATGTTCAGGTACTGAAGGGCCATTTAGAGCTTTATATATCAGTAAAAGAATGTTCAAATTTCAACAATGTGGAATTTAACTGTCAACAGTGTAGGTTTGATAAAACTGGTCAAACATTTTAGATATATTGACCTGCTTCATCCGCCAATGCAGGAACTGTTTAAGGCTTCAATTAGCTACAACAACTACAACAAGCTAGCTTAAAGCTATTGCTACCATCATCTATATTCCTAAACAAGGCAGCTGTAATTTACATTTGTGTTCTACTGACTGACATAAAGTTATCTGTGCTGCTAATTATTTAGCCTTGATCGCTAACTGCTAACAGTCTAGCACCTGTAGCCAGCTAGCCTAGCATTACAGTTTTGAATTAAAATAAAAGTAAACAGCACCAACTGGAGCTGCTGGACTGTTGAAAGCTTCTCACTGGCTCATCTAATGCTGTGTCCCTAAACTACACACTTCTATATTTCAGCTACTACACTAATGAGTGCATTTCTAGTAGTGCTGCACTGTTTTTACACACTGTTTAGTGTGCTAGTATGGTAAGTGGCATTAATAACGCAGCAGGAAATCTCCTGAGATTTCCTGCTGTGTTAATATTTCCCAAACCGCATAATAGCACACTAAATAGTGTGCAAAAAACAGTGCAGTACTACTAGGAGTGCAGTCATTAGTGTAGTAGGTAAAGTACAGAAATGTGTGGTTTGGGACATTAGATCAGCCAGTGAGATGCGTTCAACAGTCCAGCAGCTCCAGTGGCTGATTATAGCTCTGTTGAGCTGCTCATTAGCTGCTCATTAAGCATCTCCAAGACAAATTTTGAGGTGTTGCCTGATTAAGGAGCATTTACTGAGGTGGATTCATGTGTTTAATGAGCATGCATAAATGCATTTGATGCATTTATTGAAGTAAATATATAACCCCAATTCCAAAAACATTGGGATGCTGTGTAAAATGTAAATAAATGTAAATAAAAACAGAAAGCAATGATTTGCAAATCTTGTAGAGACATATTTTATTCATAATAGAACACAGAACACACATCAGAGAAAGTGAGACATTTTACCATCTCATTTAGAACTTGATTGTAGCAACGCATCTCAGAAAAGTTGGGAAAGGGCCACGTCTACCATTGTGTAGCATCCCCTCTTCTTTAACAACAGTCTATAAGTGTCTGGGAAGTGAGGAGACCGATTGCTGGAGTTATGGAAGAGGAATGTTGACACATTCTTGTCTGATGTTGGATTCTAGCTGCCCAACAGTTCTGGGTCTCCTTTGCTGGATTTTTTGTTTCATGATGCGCCAAATGTTTTCTATTGGTGAAAGATGTGGACTGCAGGCAGGTCAGTTCAGCACCCAGACTGTTCTTCTGTGAAGCCATGTTGTTGTGATGGATGCAGTATGTGGTTTATTGTCCAGGTGAAATATGCAAGGCCTTCCCTGAAAAAGACGCTGTCGGAATGGCAGCATATGTTGCCAAAACCTGGATGCAGTGTCCATTATTTCCAAAAAGATTTTCAAATTTTGATTCATTGGACCTCAGTCTATTTTAAATGAGCTCAGGTCCAGAGAAGGTGGCAGTGTTTCTGGATCCTGTTTATATTTGGTTTCTTCTTTGCGTTTTAGAGTTTTAACTTGCATTTGTGGATTGCATGGTAAACTGTTTTCACAGATAGTGGTTTTCAGAAGTGTTTCTGAGTCCATGCAGTGATTTCCACTGCAGAATCATGTCTGTTTTTAATGCAGTGCTGTCTGAGGGCCCAAAGATCACGGCCAGCAGATACTGGTTTTTGGCCTTGTCTCTCACATACAGAGATTTCTCCAGATTCTCTGAATCTTTTAATGTTATTATATACCGTAGATGATGAAAAGCTAAAGTTCTTTGCTATTTTATGTTCAGAAACGTTATTCTTGAATTGTTGCACTATTTGATCGTGCAGTCATAGAGTGGTGAACCCCTCCTCATCTTTATTTTTGAAAGACTCAGCCTCTCTGGGAAGCTCTGATTGATTTCCCATTTTTCAACTTTTGCCTGACCCCTTTTTGGATTGTTCACCGTGTGTTATGTTTCTGTCTTTGTATTTTGTGACTGTTTTGGATTTGACCTGTGCCTGTTTACTGACCACAATTCTGGATCACAACTCTCATTCTTCACAAAAGCTTCTCATTCTATTTTTACCTGTGAGCGTCTGATTCAGTGCCGTCAGGTTACAATTGCATTTTGTGTTTATTTACATTTATTTACATTTCATACAGTGTCCCAACTTTTTGGGAAATTCTTGTATTTAATAAAGTAAATTAATGCATTTATTGAAATAAGGTGATTTTAGCTTGGTATTTGCCAGCTTCCTGTTTTTAAATTTGTTCTACCTCAGTGTAGCTACAACACTTCAGCATTTAAGGTGGAACTGAACATTCAAATGATGGTAGATAAGAAGTTAACAGCTTTATGTACATGTATGAGTTTATTATTTAAGGGTTTGGGCAGTTCATACCTAGACATTACAATGTCTTGGGATGTCTTAAGATATGTCTAAAGATATGTCTAATTTTTTTTTTTATTTG